TCTGCCTCCTGAGTGCTGGGATTAAAGGCGTGTGCCACCACACCCAGCTTTAAATTTATTTTTTAAAAAATTTTATGTTTATGCAAGAAGAGTCAGTGTTCTTAACCGCTGAGCCGCAGCTAACAACTATCTATAACTCCAGTTCCAGGGGATCCGACAGCCTCTTCTGTCCTCCACGGGCATTGCACAACAGGGGTGCACTTACCTACGTGCAGGTAATACATGCATACGCATAAAATAAAAATAATAAATAGTCAGGCGTGGTGGCGCACGCCTTTAATCCCAGCACTCGGGAGGCAGAGGCAGGTGGATCTCTGTGAGTTCAAGGCCAGCCTGGTCTACATAGCGAGTTCCAGGATAGCTGGAGCTACAGGGAGGCCCTGTCTCAAAAAAGACCAAAATAAATAAATAAAATAAATAAATATTAAAAAAATTATGTTTATGTGTGTTTTGCCTCCAGGTATGTAAGTGTACCCATGTCATGCAGTGCCTGGATCCCCTGGAACTAGAGTTACAAATGGATGTTAGATACCTTGCTGTGAACTGAACCCAGGTCATCTGTAAGAGAAGCCACTGCTGTTAACTGCTGAGCCATCTCTCCAGCCTCTTTTTTGTTTTTTTGAGACAGGGTCTCCCTGTGGCCCCAGCTGGGTTGAAAACTCACTATGTAGACCAGAATGACCTTGATCTCACAGAGACCTGCCTTTGCCTCCCGGGTGCTGGGATCAAAGGTGTGCATCACCATGCCTGACTGATTATATTTTATTTCTGAATAAACTCTTGGAGAAATATCTGGTAACATCAGTACTATTGATATACACAGATAGTCCCAGGGCATACAAGTAGGACCACAAGAATAACACTAAAACACATAGAGGAAAAAATCATCAAGATGTACAACAAATGCAAATCTAATGAAAATTCAGTCATCAACTACTGTAGTCACTTAGCAAAATGTTCAGACAGCTGGATCATAGAGAGAGACCATTCCATAGATGGGTGTAGCCACCCCCATTGTCCCTTAAGGACAATAGCACTCTGCTTACTAATAGTTAACAGGCTCCTGGCACTTGGCTCACTAAGAGTTAACAGATTTCTTTAGGCTTTGTTGATGCAGAGGCTTGATGGGGTGTGTGTGTGTCGGGGGGTGTCTGCTCCCAGGGTGCTGGGGGAAGACTAATGACATCTGTTTTCTGGAGTGCTGGGAAGAGGTTGTACCCTCCCCCTGTTTGTGCATGCATCTAAGGAGGTCCGTTACTGGGCCAGTCACCATGGCCTTGGGTGAGCTGTAGTGTTTTCTTACTAAAATGATGGGAAAATTCCTATGTGCTTATGTAAAGTCTGTGTGAAATTCAACTACTGAGCTTCCAATAAAGGCTCTCAGGAGGACAGTGAAAGCACACCCGAGCAGCAAAGCTGGGGGACTCCTGGTCTAATCCCAGTTTTTTGGCACTGGTCAAGCAGGGCATCTACACATGGGCAGGCTTGTCAGCATGGAAGAATCAATTCAGGAGCTCTACAAACATAGGTAGCATCAGGTAGAAAAGCTTTCCTGGGGCTGAGGATGTCTTGGTTGCTAGAACACTTGCCTAGTATGCATGAAGTCCTGGGTTCTGTCCCCACAGGGCATAAAATTGGGCATGGTGGTCCACGCTTTTGATCCTAGCACTCAAGAGATGGAAGGAGGATTGTGAGTTCAAGGACATCTTTGGCTACATAGAGTTCCAGTCATAAGAAAAGCTTTTCTGGGTTGGAGAGCTGGCTTAGTGGTTAAGAGCACTGACTGCTCTTGCAGAGGACCTGGATTCAGTTCCCGGCACCCGGATGGTGGCTAACAACCACCTGTATCTCCAGTTCCAGGAGATCCAATGCCCTCTTCTGGACTTCTTGGACATGGTACATAAAACACTCATACACATAAAATAATTTTTTTAAAAGAAAAGCTTTTCTGGGCATCTCATAGGGTGAGTCTTTATCCGCAGCCTTGTCCTTCGTATCCATCTAGCTGTCCTCACAGTGGGCAGAGACAGTGTATAGTCCAGCCCCCAGCCCCACCCCCAGTGCATGGACACTGCCCACAGGCCTGGCTCTAACCTCAACCCTGGCTGTTCTGCCTCTACCCAATCATCAGGTTGCAACCAATCCTCCTGGGGGAAAACTACAACTTTTGGGCCTGATCCAGTTCAACATGGCTGATGCCTGAGGTACTGTCTATATCCTAGTTATTTCAGAAGCTGCCTCTAAATATGGAATTCCTTTTTGTCCTCTCCAGTGGTGGGGTCATCCTGGCTCCTAAGACTTCCACATACTGCCATTCCCATATGGGGAGTGGGTCAGGTTTGACTTGTACTCCTAGGGGGCCTTAGAGAGACCTGGCACACTGTTTGTCTCTGATTACTAGTCTACAGGACGTATTCAACCAGGAAAGCTCTTCAAGAATATGTAAAAACTAAGACTTGTAAGAATGTTTAGCAAGGGGGCTGGTGAGATGACTCAGCAAGCAAGGGTGCTTGCTGCCAAGCCTGAAGATTTAAGTTTGATTCCTGGGACCCACATGGTGGAAGAAGAGAACCAACTCCTACAGTTTGTCCTCTGACCTCCATAACCCACCAAGGCACAAATATAAATAAAAGTAAAAAAAAAAAAATGTTTAGCAGTGTTCCTAGTAAAATTCACTACACAAATACCAGTTACATTTTGTATATTTACAATGTGAAATTAGCTGCTTGGGTTGGGTAACATGTAGACTGTGAGACTTGGTGTTATTTGTGAATAACACTATCACTAGGAGTCTGAGCATAGAATACGACCAATCTGAAGTATAGATTTTGCCTGTGATCTACAAATGTTCCAACTTGGGCATCTGTGAGCAAATCCCTTAAAGGCCCCATAGGTGTTATTTCAGACCATCAGGATGCCATCCAAGGCTAGCTCATAATTCATCACATTTGAAACTAGTCTCATGATCTGTGGCTCCGGGTGCCAGCAATTAAATGTGGCAACAGACAGGCTCAGTAGCAGCACACACCCAGGAAGGAAAACTCCATGACCCATTTTCTCTCTGGGAACAAATGTAATATGAAGGTGTGAAATTCTCTTACAGGGCTGTCAAGATGGATCAACAGGTTAGGGCACTTGTGAAGCCTGACAACCTGAGTTTGATCCCCAGAACCCACCTGGTGGATTCCCACAAGTTGTCCTTTGACTTCAGCATGCATGCTGTGGTAAGTGGACACACACACATACACACACACATACACACCACAATAAATAAATAGATAGGTATATATATATAAACAAGTAAATAAAATGAAGGGGCTGGAGAGATGGCTCAGTGGTTAAGAGCACTGGCTACTCTTGCAGAAGACCCAGGTTCAGTTCCCAGCACCCAGATGATGACTAACAACCATCTGTAACTCCAGTTCCAGGGGATCCAACACCCTCTTGGCCTCTTTGGGCATTGCACACATATGATGTACTTACATACATTCGGGCAAAACATACACACAAAATGAAAATCAATAAAAACTTAAGGGGGCTGGAGAGATGGTTCAGCGGCTAAGAGCACTGGTTGTTCTTGCAGAAGACATGGGTTTGAATCCCAGCACCCACATGGCAGCTAACAACTGCCTGTAACTCCAGTCCCAGGGGATCCTACAGCCTCTTCTGACCTCTGAGGGCATTGCATGACGTGGGTGCACTTACCTACATGCAGCCGATACACGCATACACATAAAATAAAAATAAAAATTAAAAAAAACCTTAAAAGTAGGGGGCTGGAGAGGTGGCTCAGTGGTTAAGAGCACTGACTGCTCTTGCAGAGGACCCGGATTTGATTCCCGGCACCCACATGGTGGCTAAGAACCATCCTTAACTCCAGTTCCAGGGGAATCCAACGCCCTCTTCTGACCTCTGTGGCATTGCATGACATGGGTGCACTTACACACATATAGGCAATACACTCATACACATAAAATAAAAATAATAAAATATTTTTAAAAACCTTGAAAGTAATTTTAAAAAAGTATTTCAAATGAATGCTTTTGGATTGCCATTAATAACACTGCTTTGATTAAGCTAGAGTTGTGCAGCCCTGATAACCACCCATGATATAACTTGCAAATGTTAAAAGTAGATGTATTTGAGAGCCACACATGGTGACAAACATTTGCAATCACTTGGGAGATGGAGATAAGAGGATCAAGAATTTGAGGTTAGCATTGGTTGCATAAGTTCATCAGCCTTGGCTACATGAAACCCTGTCTCAAAGAAACAAAAACAAAAAACCATAGATGGCCCCACACCCATGCCGATATGGACAGCACTCACTGAACTTAGTAGTGAGTTATTTTTTTAAAGACACGAAATTGAGAAGGGGATGTGTTGGGAAAGAGAGTGAGTCAAGGCAAGTTGGAGGGTGGAGAATGGGGAGAGAGATGATCAAAATACATTGTATACATCTACGAAATTCTCAAAGAACAAATAAAAATATATTAAAAAAACAACCCAGGGGGCCAGGCATAGTGGCACATGTCTTTAATTCCAGCATGGGAGGCAGAGGCAGACTGATCTCTGTGAGTTCAAGGCCAGCCTGGTCTACATAATGAGTTGTAGGCCAGCTGGAGCTACAGGGAGATCCCGTCTCAAAACCAAAAACCAAAGAAGCAGTGTCTGGTAATAGGCTAATGAAATGGCTCATCATGTAAAAGGGCTTGCTGCGAAGCCTGGCAACCTGAGTTCAATCCCCAGGACACACAAGGTGGAAGGAAAGACTCAACCTCTGAAGGCAGTCCTCTGATTTCCACCTGGGAGTGGGACGTGCATGCCACCCTCCCCCATGAAGACATATAACACATATCAATGTAAATTTTTTAAAAATTTAAAAAGTAATAAAATAGAATTCTGTGGTCATTGAACATACCCAGGTGATCAAAGCACCCAAGATGCATCAGCAGGCTTGCAGAGCTCAGCATCACATCAACTCATGCACGAGTTCCCCTGCTGCATGGAGATGCTCCTCACGGAGAAGGAGCATGCTGTTCCCCAGGCGGAAGAGAAGACTGCACAGACAGATATCCCAGAGGAAACTCAAGAAATAAACTATGGAAAAGAAATAAATTCAGCATAAAATAAATGAAAGTAAAAGTAAAAAACAGAGCCAGATATAGTACACACTTAATCCCACTACACTGGAGGCAAAGGCAGACAGGTCTCTGTGAGTTTGAGACTAACCTGGTCTATATAGCAAGTTCCAGGTCATCTGGGGCTACAGGGAGACCCTGTCTCACTCCCCCCTCCCATTGAAAGCAACCTAAAAAATTACCTTAAAAATTTTGCTAGTTTCCAAAACTTTCCTATTAATTAAAATTATTTTTACTTGAAGTATATGAGTGTTTTGCTTTAAGTGCACAATGTGTGTGTGCAATGCCCATGGAGTCCAGAAGAGGGCATCAGATCCCCTGGAACTGGACTGACATTTTTTTAAAAGAATGTAATTTACAGAAGGAAGTTTAAGCAAAGCTTAAAATTTAAGTAAAATTTAATAGTTAAGTAAAAATATATGAGCTAGTTTACTTATTTTTTTCTTTTCCCTTTGTAAATGAAGTTGTAGTACTGTTTTATGAGGTGCATTGTTTGGACTTAGGGTTGAGAGAGGAGTGTTGATATGGTAAAATTCAAGGTTACAAACATCCTGGGCCTCAGCACAGTTTTTTTGGTTACTTTTATTTAGTATTTTTGTTTTCAGACAGGGTCTTATTATGTAACCTTGGCTGGCCTAGAGCTCATTATGTAGAGCAGGCTGGCCTCAAACTCAGAAATTTCCTTTCTTTGCCTTCAGAGTGTTGGGATTGCAGGTGTGCACTGTACCGCTAAGCCTCGATCTGATTTTTTTTTTAAAGTTTTGAATTTGTTGCATTTTACATTTTTATTTAAGATGTGTTTAGGAAGCTAGGCAGTGACAGAGGCCTTTAATCCCAGCACTTGGGAGGCAGAGGCTGGTAGATCTCTATAAAAATGAGGCCAGCCTAGTCTACATAGTGAGTTTCAGGCCAGCTGGAGCTACAGAGAGACCCTGTCTCAAAAAACATGTCTTTAGGAAAATACACATTATCTGTGTAGGCAACTTTGGCTTTATCAGTTGTGTTGAAGTTTTTGAACTTCAGCAAGGAAATCAAGACTGGTCCTGGCTAAATGGGCCTCTTTCCTTTTTCATGTCCCCTTAATTTCCTGTTTTTCCAGTCTGTCTCACTATCAACTATTAGAATTTGGCATAGAGCTGGGACTGGCGGGCAACACCTTAATTTCAGCACTCAGGAGGCAGAGGCAGGCCTGTGTCCATGCAAAAGCATAACTCTCACCTCAAAGAGGGTAAGAGATAGTTTATTCTGGAGCCAAATATAAGTGACCATAGCCGGGGAACACAGATTCAGGTTACCCCAAATTCCATGTTCCAGCATGTTAACAGTTGCCTTAATTTTTATAGTAATAGAACAAAAGTCATAAGTCAAGACACTTCAAATACATTGGAGGATAGATTCAGTAGACAGGTAGCAGCAAAGCAGGAGAGGTCTTACTAGAGGTTTCAGATACTATCAGATGATGTTCTTAGCTTTTGGATTGGTGAGACCTGGTGGTCTGCTAAATTAATACATTCTAAAAGATTTTTATCTGTTAGTCACAGGATGTTAGATCAGAAACAGAGGTGGGTAAGGAGTGGCTATTCAGGGGGCTAAAGAAGGCCAGAGATAAATTGTAATTAGATTCTGGACCTGCAACATTTCAAACTGTCACAGTCTCCAGGGTGATAATCAGTTGGTCAGCCTTGCAGGAAGTTCAGTCCAAGGTACAGAAATTCTTTTTCTGAACTATATAGACCTCCTTGGCCTATATACTGAGTTCTAGGCCAGCCAGGGAGACATAGTAAGACCCTGTTCCCGCCCCCCACCCAAAAAAACGGAAAATAGAAAAAAAGGATTTAGCATGGGTTCCACATAATACAAACAAAAGCCTAAAGACTAATGGAGGTGCTAGGTCGTCTCATAGATTGGGAGTTTATCAACAAGGTAGGAATACAAGGGAGGAGACGCAAACGTTAAGTGGCGGCAGAAAGGGAAGGTTTATGAGCCTTCTGCTACCCCGTACTCCAGGTTTGCGGTTCAAACTGCAACTCCGCTCAGGGGCAAAGGGCGGTCCATCCCAGAGGCCTTGTTCTGGGCCTATTTCTGTTTCAAGGCCTGGAATCAACCCTTACCCAAGTCGTAAGAACTGAAATTTCATTTTTCTGAAGTATTCTGACTCGGACAGCGAGGCCCTTCCGGTCTCCAGCTTGGAAGCGGAAGTGCCGCCACAGTTCGCCTCCGTTTTTCCCGGTGTGCTTCCGCGCGCGGCCAGTTCCCTTTTCTCGGCGGCGGTGGCTGGCTGGTGCGGCTCTGGTGAGGCCTGGGGAGGGAACTGACGGTGGCGGAGGTTGGGAGGGGAGGGCCAGGCGTGGCCGGTGACGGCTGGGTCTCAGAGGAGAGGCGGGGCGGCTCGGTTCTTGCTCAGGGCGCGACCTGACCCGGGGCCGCTTCGCCCCTACTGCCCCGCAGGCCCCGCTAGGGGCCATTTCGCATAAATGTGACTTGTGCTCAGGGTGTTTTCGAACATAGTCCTTGCTGCCTCGAAAGTCTCTAAGGTAATCTTAATTTTTTTTATTTTTTTATTTTTAAGAGTGTAAAGAACTTCCGCTCTTTGAGTCGGCTCTGGCGTCCTCTCGCCTCAGGGACGTGGTTATCCCTACGCTTCGCGGTGAGCAGTGGGTGAAATTTGGTGGAAGAGGGCTGCGTCCTTCCTGTTTCTTAGAAACAAATACATGATTGTTGAATTCGCCCCCCCCCATCCTGTATTTGTTTTGACATACTAAGTAGGTAAAAAGAGGAAGCTTAAAAAAATGTTATTTTTATTTTTATTTTTTATGTGTATAAGTGTATTACCTTTATGTAGGTAGGTGCACCTGTTTAGTGCTGTGCCTCCGGAGGTCAAAAGAGGGCGTTGGATCTCCTGAAACTGGAGTTAATGGATGGTTCTTAGCCACCATGTGGTGGGTGCTGGGCATCAAACCCCTGTCCTCTGCCAGAGCAACCAGTTCTCTTAATCATGTAGAACCATCTCTCTAGCCCCAAGAGAAAGCTTTTTAAAAATAACATTCTTATTTTACAATATATTTTTATTTTATGTGTATGAGTGTTTTGTCTGTATGTATGTAACTGCACCACGTTGGTGCAGAGCCATCGGAGGTCAGAAGAGGGCGCTGGATCCCCTGGAACTGGAGTTACAGATGCTTGGTAGCTGCAGCTCTGTGGGTGCTGGGACCAGAACCTGGATCCTCTGGAAGAGCAGCCAGTCCTCTTAACTGCTTAGTCAGCTCTTCAGCCCAGAAACTACTTTTGTAAATGTTCAGGGTATGCATATTCATGTATGTAGCTTGTGTAGACCCACAGGTCACACCCTTTCTTCCTCATCTCAGTGGTAGTTAAAGTCTTCACAATTTAAAAATGGGATTTGGGCTAGGGAGATGATGGTTCAGGGGTCAAGAGCCTGGCACTGCTCTTGAAGAGGACCTGAGTTCAGTTCCCAGATCTCAAGTCAAAGGCTGGAAACCTCCTGTAACTCCAACTACAGGGGATCGATCCACCGCCCTCTTCTGCCCTCTACAGATGCACCAGCACTCAGGTGGCATACACTCACATATACACATAATTTAATAGGGGCTGAAGAGATGGCTCAGCAGTTAAGAGTACTTATTGCCCTTCCAGAAGACTGGTTTCCCAGCACCCACATGGCAGCTAACACCCATCTGTAACTCCAGTTCTGGGGGATCCTATGCCCTCTTCTGGCCTCTAGGCACTCACATGATGCACCTGCATACATATTGGCAAAGCACTAATACACATAAAATAATTTTTTTTTTTTTTGTCTTTTTGAGACAGGGTTTCCCTGTAGCCCTAGCTGTCCTGGAACTCACTGTGTAGGCCAGGTTGGCCTTGAATTCACAGAGATCCACCTGCCTCTGTCTCCTGAGTGCTGGGATTAAAGCCGTGTGCCACCACACCTGGCTTTAAAGATATATTTTAAAGTGAACATTTTAAAAATAACAAAAACAGAACTCTAGAAAGAAAGGATGAGGCATTATTTATTTCACTAAAATACTATGATAGTTGAGCTTACTTGTTTTCTCCCAGAAAAATAAAACGTGTTTCAGGAAAACTTAAAATTATCAGTGTATATTAATTGTGCAAAAATAGGTTTCCTTATAACATTTTTATGCATGCATATTATGTGTTTTGATCATATATATTCTTCCCTCTCTCCCTCCTGCTCTCCCCCCTTTTCCAAATAGTCTTTTGTGTACCTTTTTTTTTTTTTTGGTCTTTTTGAGACAGGGTCTCCCTGTAGCCCCAGTTGTCCTGGAACCACTATGTAGACCAGGCTGGCCTTGAACTCACAGAGATCCGCCTGCCTCTGCCTCTCGAGTACTGGGATTAAAGGTGCCTGGCTTCTTTCTTTTTTTAAAGATTTATTTATATGTGTGTACACATGTGCTGGTGCCCTTGGAGGCCAGAACTCGAGGGCGTTGGATCCAAGGTGCTGGGTCCCTTGGAGCTGGAGTTACAGGTGGTTTTATAAGCACCTGGATGTGGGTATTGTGAGCTCAACTTATTTCCTGTGGAAGAGAAGCAAACACTTAACTGCTGAGCCATCTCTCTAGCTCCTACTTTTTCTTTCTTGTTTTATTAATTTCTTTTTGAGATAGGGTCTCTAATCCTGTCTGGCCAGGAGCCTATGGTGTAGCCCAGGCTGGCCTCAGACTCAATGCAATTCTGCCTCAGCCTCCCTTGTGCTGGGACTACAGGCATTGAGCTATCATGCCAAAGTTTTTTTTTCTTAAATCTAGATTTCACATGAGAGAAAACATATGATGTTTGAGTCAGATTTATTTAATGTGATCTCCATTTCTATCCATGTACAAAGCTCTAACCATTCAGATATTTTCATGTGTATTCGAATTTTGTGGCCAGAAAGTTGGATCAGTGGTTAAGAGTACTACTTGTTCTTGCAAAGGACCTGGCTTTGATTCCCAGCACCCACATAGTGGCTAACTACAGCCAGTAACTCCAGTTCCAGGGGAATCTGACACCCTCTTCTGACCTCCATGGGCATTGCACAGCATGGGTGCACTCACTTACATGCAGGCAATAAACTCATACACAAAATAAAAGAAACAAGTTTTCCTTGCTGTGCAAACCCCTAGGTTCCAGAGAGAAAATACAAGGAAATTAAATAGAATTTTTATATTAGAATTTTTTGGTGTGGTGCTAGAGAGATGGCTTGGTGGCTAAGAGTGCTTCCAGTTTGTTCCCAGCACCCATGTCAAATGACTTACAACAAATGGCCTGGAACTCCAGCTCCTACACTTATGTGGTGCATGTTAATTCTTCGCAGATACACATGAACACATAAAATCTTTTAACACTATTTTGGTATAGGTAATATGAAATAAGGGCATGGCAAATTATATGTAGGAAGATATTTTTAGGATTTTAATAATTTGATCTCACTGAAATATTTTGTACTAAATTTGTAAGATAAGATATAAGGAACTATTCCAGCTTTGCTCTCGCATGCAAGTTTTAATATTTGCTAGAATGTACCATTTACTCAAGGTTCATGAGCTTCAGTATTGGGGTCAAAGTACAATTAATACCTGAAAATCCCACAAAATTTAAACATCTGTCCTTCAATAATTGTAAAATATTACATAATTCAACATGGAAGAAAAATTGGTGTGCCTCACTTTTATCTGTTGTTTTGCTTCAGCTTCTTATAGTATCAATACATAGTACCCTAAACTATTCCCCCCATATGTCATAACACATTTGACTTTGCACGTGGACCTCTGTGGGCCATAATCAAAATAGTCTTGGGATTAGTGGTGTGGCTCTCTGGTTATCTAGCATGCATGGGGTTGTAGGTTTAATCCCAGCACTGAGAAAAGGACAATATGGTCATAAGGACCTTGAGGGATTAAATCTAGTTATATAAAACTAGCAGAAGATTACTCTCACCACTGTTGTGTTTGTTCAGCTGTCTGCTCCCAAATCTGAAAATAAACAGTAGTCATAATGAAGTCCCATAGCTGTAATGCTGTGATTCCATTCATGGAGGTCCCCAAATCATTCAGTATTAAAAGTACTGATAAAATTCAGTTGATAACTGGGAGATATTTTACTCATGGACATTGACTAAAATACTGTGTTCATTGTTTCAACAGCCTCTCAGAAACAGCTGCTCCTCAGAACCAGGTCACTTCTCCTGGGTTGCTCTGGGGTAGCTTAGTACCTTTCATCAGTCTTTGAAACAGCATCCTAACTGTATCCACCTTTCTTGAAGAATCCAGGTATGACACAGCATTGATAGCATCCTCCACCAGGAATGTTCAGTGGTTATTTTTTTTTTTAAAATATTTTTATTTTATGTATATGAGTATATTGCCTGCATGTATGTGAGTTCACCCATGTTGTGCAATGCCGCGGAGGTCAGAAGAGGGCTTCAGACTCCCCTGGAACTGGAGTTAAGGACGGTTTGTAGTCACCATGTGGGTGCTGGGAATTGAACCTGGGTTCTCTGCAAGAGCAGTCAGTGCTCTTAACCACTGAGCCATCTCTCCGGCCCCCAGTGGTTACTTCTTACTGATACATAAATCTAACCTCTTTCAGTCCTTTTTTGGATTCTGGTGGGAACATGTTCTGGATTTACAAATTATACTTAAAATTGAAATCAACAGATGTTTTATACTTAAACTTGTGTGTGTGTGTGTGTGTGTGTGTGTGTGTGTGTGTATGTATGTGTCTGTGTCTGTGGGTTGGGTATGCACAACTGAGTGCAGGTGTCAACAGAGGCCAGAGAGGATGTTGGATCCCCTGAAGCTGGAGTTATAGGTGGTTGTGAACTGTTCTATGTTGGTGCTTTGAGTCAAACTCAGGGCCTCTGCAAGTGCAATATGCACTCTTACTGCTGAGCCATCTTCCTAGCCCTGGGGACTTTTATTTTTGAAGTTTTCACAGCTTGTTATATATCCTGATCTATGGACCAGTTCTGATCTTTAGTTGTGCTAGGCTTCAGGGGAGGAATTTGCCTCCCTTGGCCTCATGCCCACATACCATCAAAACAAGTGTGACTGGTTATCTCCTGGGCTTGCTGGAAGCAGGATCTCTCAGAGCTGATGAGTCTCTATACTCAGCTGCTGTGGTTCATGGGTACCCCAGGTTATCACCACCATCTTCTTTCCAGATGTTTTAGACAGGTTTAGGCCTTTTGGTATATTCCATCTGCAGGAGAGTTGGCTTCCTTCTCTGTTCACCCCTTTGGCAGAGCAGGGTGCTGGAGGAGGTTACTCTTACTCGGATCTGTGGCTGTCTCAGGAATTAATTTGAGAACCAAAGTGGGATTTTGTGGGCCATATGAATGGCACTGCTGAACACTGTGCTGAAGCTCAGTGGGATGTTGCTGCTTTCATTGCTTAGCCAGGATGGCCTTAGTAAAGGGGTAAAGACTCAAGAAATAATGCATCTAGCAAAACTTGAAGCAGTCATTTTAGTACTGGTTACCCTGAGCAGTGTCGTATCTTCCTATTTATTAGGAATTATTGAGCCATTGCATAAGATTCAACCAGGAAAGGAAACAAAAACTTTGAGCACCATGGTGATGGTGGTGCGTGTTCCAGGGACCAAACCCTAGTTATCAGGTCCAAGAGCAAGTGCCTTTATCTGCCAAGCCACCTCACCAGCCCTCATATGCTTTTTATTACTGGTGCTGCAGTTCTAGCCACTGGCAGAGCTTTACCCTTCAGAATTACATTATAGGCAGTAACTAAGATAAGGGTTTTCACTGCCTTCCCCTCCCCCTCCCCCAAGCTAGAGCCCAGTATGGTGGCACACACTTCTAATCTCAGCATTTGGGAGACAGAGGCAGGCAGACCTCTTGTGAGGTCCAAGCCAGCTGGGGCTACTGATAGACCCTGTCTCAAAACCCAAATGATAATATTTTTGAAAATAACTTGATTAGAACTTAGATGTTCTTGATGGGTCCTAGGTAATTGATCTCTGTAAGTAACTCCTTTTAAGTTAGAGTGAAATGAATCAATAGCTGTATTTTATATTGCCCAGAGCTATTTTCCATAAATTGGGAAAAACTATTATCACTTGTGTGAGTATGGGAACACACGTGCCATGGCATGAGGTATAGAGGTCAGAGAACAACTTTGGGGGTTGATTTTTATCCTTCTGAGGTTTCTGGGCATAGAACCGAGGTTATCAGGCTTGCACAGTAAACACCTCTGAGCAATCTTTGTGGCCCTGTTTTTCATAAATCTTTTATCTTACTCTTATGCATAAGGATGAGAGGTCAGAGTAGCAGTATTTATTCTGTAGGGACTTAGCAGGCTTATGTATTGTGCAACCTATTTTCACTTGTACTCCATTAGAAAACAAACTGATACTTAATCATGTTTAACTACATAGGATTCTATCTTAGGGACTTTTAACAATTAGACCAGGGTTTGAATCCCAGTACTCACATGGCGGCTAACAACTGTCTGTAACTCCAGTCCCAGGGGATCCGACAGCCTCTTTTGACCTCCACACGCATTGCACAACACGGGTGTACTTACCTACATGCAGTCAATACATGCGTACACATAAAATTAAAAAGTAAAATTATTGTTTTAAGGTGGTTCTGGAGATTGAACCTAGGGACCTGCACATGCTAGGCAACTGAACTATATTGTCAGCCCAACCATTTGTCTTACTACTCTTAGTCTGAGTGCTTTCTGGAAGCACATACCAACTCAAGTGGTTATCCTTTGTCAAGACCAGAATTTCTTTATAGGAAATGCCATGCCACCTGAGATGTTGTTGTGCTAACTAGAATTCTGTGCTTGCTCTCTTTTTGGGGAGAATATTACATCAAAACCTCCATCAGCAGTGCCCAGAAGTGCCTCTCTTAGGGCAAAGACTGGACCCAGGGAATTTTTCCCCCTTATTTTTTGAGCTCACTGTGTTTAACCTGTTAGTCACATATACTTCTTGTATTATCCTGGAGTGTACATCCATATGTGTCTGACATGAATGGTAGAGGTACTGCAAGTAATGGAAATTATTGCTTTCATCTGGTAACCCTTGACTCCCTGAAGAGAGGCCCACCCACACACCCTGAAGCCAATTCTACTAATCTTCAGTTTTGTACCATAAGGGGTCATCCTGTGACTCTGATAGTTAACTCCCTGACTTTCTCTTTATAAAAGCACAACTTTCTTTCTTTCTTTCTTTCTTTCTTTCTTCTTTTTTTTTTTTTTGGTCTTTTTGACATGGTCTGCCTGTAGCCCCCAGCTGACCTGGAACTCTCTATGTAGATCAGGCTGGATCCACCTGCCTCTGCCTCCCAAGTGCTGGGACTAAAGGCGTGCATAACCACACCCAGCTTAACTTTCTTATGATCCAAATGATGGTGTCTTTGGAGTCTCTTGTCCAGATGGACAGGTATACCACCTTACATATTTTCCATTTTCCATTCCTGCTCTTCTTTCTCTAATGAAATCACACCCTAGTGTACAGTGTATATACTAGGTATATCCATATTTGTTTATCTGTTCTTGACCTCCTTTTTAAATTCATTCATTCTTCCATCCATTTTTGCTGTGTTGAGAACAGAACTCAAGGCCTTATGCCTGCTAGGCAAGTGCTGTCAGCTCTTGACCTCTCCTTTTCAAACTGTTTCCAACAGCTTTGAGAAAAATTGATTCTGAACTATTTGATTATAATTGTGTACTGGGCCTGGAGAGATGGCTCAGTGATTAAGAGCACTGACTGCTCTTGTAGGGAACCTAGGTTTGCTTCCCGGCTCCCACGTGGTGGCTAACAACCATCTATAATGCCAGTTCCAGGGATCTGATGCCCTCTTCTGCCCTCTGCAGACTCTGCACAACATGGGTACATTTACATGCAGGCATAACACTCATGCACATAAAATAAATAAATAAAAAAATTGTGTGCTCTTGTACTCTTACTCAGATTGCATCTTTTTGGAGACATTGGATCCTCCTAGGTGTAAATACTTATATCTTTTTGGGGAAGTGGGAAAATATTTTTTCTTCAACACATTGAAAACTAGGCAAGTGCTGAGCTATACTCCCAGGCTACTAGTGTTTTAACTTTTGTGAGTGTGTGTAGGCACGTGTGCACTATAATGCATGTGTAGAAGTCAGAGGACAACCTCAGGCATCAGCCCTTGCCTTCTACCATGTTTGGGTTAGGGCTTCATTTCATGTGTCAGGCTCATGAACTTCCAAGAATTCTCCTGTCTCTCCTTTCCATCTCCCTGTAGAAGTGCTGCAATTACAAATGTGAACATTAGTATGTCTGGCTTTCATATGTGTTCTGGGAATTTGAACTCAGTTTCTCATGTTTTTATCCATTAAGGACTCTCACCAGCCCAGAGAGCTTGCTTATAGTAGCATAAGGTGATTCTTTGAGAATTCCTACCAAGTAAACAAGTGTTTGGCACACTCACTTTTAATTTTATGCTATTTCTGAAGATTTGTTGTTCTTTATGAGCACCAGACCAAAATCAGAACACTGTATTTCTACTATGAGACTCCAGTGAGATGAAGCAGTGATTGACACATATTCTATCTTGTTTGTAAGACAAGGACATTCTGGTTACAGTGCTTTACAGTCAAAAGTAGAATGTTACATTTTAAGTAACCCATATTCTCAATTTCCCAAGTCCTTTATATGGTGACTATTTTGGTGTATAATGACAACCACACCAGATGACGTTTTAGAGATCGAATTACCCAGATTTAAGTCCTGTTCACTTTCTCTCAATCATTTGTGCTTGAATAATCACCTATTTTCAGAATATAGGTTGTTTTTGCTGTGAATGAATGTTAGAATAATTAAATGGAGTAATGATTAGTATACGTAATTGACCGCGTGTGTGTGAACACACACCTAAATACGTATATAAAAAGCTTCTTGTATAACTTTAGAGTACTATATTAGTTGCTTTTCTGTTTTATGATAAAATACCATGACTAAAAGCAGGTTAAGGAAAAAAGGGTTTGTTTGAGCTTACAGTTCCAGAGGGCCAGAGGCCATAATGACAGGGAAGGCAGGGCGGCAGGAGCAGGAAGCAGTGATCACTTTTCTATTTGTTTACAGGAAAGAGAAAGAGAGCAGAAAGAAGGGCAGCCCTCAGGGTGCACCAGTAGTGTACTTCTTCCTGCAAGGCCTCATGTCCTAAAGGTTCCATAACCTTAAAACAGCTCCCTTAGCTGGGGACCAAGTATTCAAATACCTGAGCCTATGGGGCCATTGCTCATTTAAACTACAAGTACATAGGATTCTTCATCAGTAGCTGATGATGTTAATGATCCCATTGGGTATTATTATAGGGTGTACATTTTAGTGGTTTTCATTAGGTCACCAGCAAAGAGCTAATGTGTGGGGTTTTTTTTTTTTTTGGTTTTTTTTTTTTTGAGACAGGGTCTCCCTGTAGCTCCAGCTGGCCTGGAACTCACTATGTAGACCAAGCTGGCCTGGAACTCATAGAGATCCGCCTGCCTCTGCCTCCCAGGTGCTGGGATTAATGCCTCCACGCCCGGCTTTTTTTTTTAAGACAGGGTTGCACTATGTAACCCTGGCTCACTTGGAACCTCAAACTCACAGATTGACCTGCCTCTGCCTCCTGAGTGCTGGGATTAAAGGCCAGTGCCACCACATCCGTCTAATGTATCATGTTTGAGGACTACTAAATATTGCTTTTTGATCGATTGATGTCAACAGGAATCTAAGTCATCCTGATTAAACAGGAATGAGTATTGTCATCTACATTGATTCATAAGCTGCCCTGACGTGTCCTTGGATTCACAGAAGATTTTGATCGCACAGTTTACCATCAGGATAAAGGATGGACATTATCAGTTTGTCCAATGGTAAGTCCTGTTGCTGCTATTTTTGAGAGACTGTGCTCGGGGTCCCTACTATTCAATGTAGAGCCAGATATCTGGGCCTAAACAGTCACACTGCTAGTCCATTATGGAGTGCTGAAGAGGGCCAGAGAAGACTGTTTTGTACATCAGTCCCCTAGAGTGGGCTTGGGAACAGACATTTCTGTCATCACAGGAAAATTAAGAGTTATATTTCTCAGGACTTAGGTTTCCTTTGCATTAGAGACTAACGTACTTGCCTTGATAGGAAGGATGGCTCACTATCACCTTTTCTGGCTGTGAGTAAGGCAGAATTGCTGTGGCATTGTGTGTTCCTAGTATGTTTGCAAGTTATCCTTGAGTGGATTGGCATCTGTTAATTTTAACAAGGATGAAATCATATCCTGCAGTGAATGTGGGTCTCTGGGAAGCTCTAGAATGTTGTATCTTCTTTCTTTTCCAGCAAGACTGCTTTCCAGGGACCCAGTCTGCATTCAGGAAGAAGAGACAGAGGCAGAAAGCATGGAGACTGGTTGTCTGAGAAACTGTAATAAGGTATGAAGAACATGTTTTGTTCTACAAACTTATTTCATTGCATCCACCAGGTACACATCTTTTCCATACAGATAAGAAGGAATAAGCTTCTCATGAGGATTGATTTCCCAGGGAGTGGAACCTTTCACGGTTGTGAAATACTGTGTTAGTTTGGTAATTACTTGTTAATCTTAACCCTCATGGTGCCAAATGTCTGTTTTTCTGAAAGATGCTAAAAAGATGACAGTATCATTTTCTCAGAGACCTTGTTTTCACTATTTATTCCACATGCACAATATGCCCAGGAATATTGTATAAAAGACGGGAGATGGGTGTAGTCACTTTGTGGTGAGGTGAATTGTTGGAGATGTACCATTAAAGCTATGTGACTAGAATAGATGAACAGAGAGTAAGTGTGGATACAGAGGCTTTTAGGGCTATTGAACCCTGGGCAGACAACAGGAGAACTCCCAACTTTGTACAGGCATTAGGTTGCCCCCACCTCCCCTCGTGCGCCCTTCTATGAACACTGATGGAGATACTGCTTGGCTTAAACAAGCATGTTTAGGCTTTGGTTAGGATTCAGTGACCAATAGGGATAAAGCTGTGCATTTCACACAGGAGGAGTTAACTTCAGAGGATCCACCTCAGAGCACCATACCTGATGATGTGATGAAGGACTACAAGAGCCTAGCCACTGTAGGTAAGATGGTCATCATTCTCATATGAGGCTTCATGTAGAACAGGTACATATTATGTACTTAGTGTGTTTAGGATCTTTGTCAATTCTGTTGAGTTTGAAGAGAACAATGACGGCAGTCTCTCCTTTTTGAACATACTGTGATAGTTTCATTGGGGGGGGTGGTATACATCAAACTTCATCACCTCATATGTGCCGTGTTCTGCTCTGTAACTGAGCTATGTACCTAGCCCACTATAGTAATGGTTGTAGTTCTTGTTTATTTTTTTGAGACAGGGTCTCACTATATAGCCCTGACGACTTAGAACTCTGTGTTTTTTTGTGTGTGTTTTTTAAAAGAAAAAAAAAATTTATTTTTTGTGTATTAGGGGTATTGCCTGCATGTATGTAAGTGCATCTGTGCTGTGCAATGCCCAAGGAGGTTAGAAGAGGGTGTCAGATTCCCCTAGGATTGGAGTTATGGATGGTTGTTAGCTACTATGTTGGTGCTGGGAAATCAAACCCAGGTCCTCTGCAAGAGCAGCCAGTGCTCTTAACTTCTGAGCCTGTCCTGTTTTTAAAAATATTTTTAAAATTATTTTTATTTTATGTGTATGAGTGTATTACTTGCATGTATGTAAGTTCACCTGTGTCATGCAATGCTTATGGTGGTCAAAAGAGGGTGTATAGGTATCCCCTGGAACTGGTGTTAGAATAGTTGTTAACTGCTATGTGGGTGCTGGGAATTGAACCAAGATCCTCTGCAAGAGCAGCCAGTGCTCTTAATTGCTGAACTATCTCTCCAGACCCTCTTATTTTTTTTAGATTTATTTTCATTTATTGTTTTGTGTGTGTGGTGGATACACTTGAGCCACAGCTCATGTGTGGAGGTCAAAAGACAGCTTTTTTTGGAGTTGGTTCTTTGCTTCTGACTTGTTTTTTGAAGCAGGGTCTCATTTCTGCCACTGTGCTTCTGACCAATTCTCCTGTCTCTGCCTTTCATCTGACTATAGGAGTGCTGGGGTGGGATTATAGATGTGTACCACCACTGCATCTGGCTTTTTAACATGAGTGCTGCAGATTTAACTCAGTCGTCAGGGTTTTATAGCAAGTGCCTTTACCTCCTGAGCCATCCTACCTGCCCAGTGTGCTAGTTCTTAAAATTGGATCTGGGTTTTTTTTTTGTCTTTTTGAGACAGGGTCTCCCTGTAGCCCCAGCTGGCCTGGAACTTGCTATGTAGATCAGGCTGACCTTGAACTCACAGAGATCTGCCTGCCTCTGTTTCCCTATTGCTAGGACTAAAGGCATGTACCACCATGCCCGGCAAAATGCATTAGAGGCAATACTGAGCATTAAATTCTTTTTTAATTTATTTTTACTTTATGTGTATGAGTGTTGTGTCTATGTGTGTGCAAGAATCATGCAGTGCCTGTGGAGGACAGAAGAGGGCATTGGATCCCTTAGAACTGGAGTTTCAGACAGTTGTTAGCGGGATTCAATCCTAGGTCTTCTGCAAGAACAGCCAGTGAGTGCTCTTAATCTCTCCAGCACCCTCTACTTTTTTTTAAAGATTTATTTTCGGGGGCTGGAGAGATGGCTCAGCAGTTAAGAACACTGACTGTTCTTGCACCCAGCACCCACATGGCAGCTAACAACTGTCCGTAACTCTAGTTCCAGGGGATCCAACAGCCTCTTCTGTCCTCCACAGGCATTGCACAACACGGGTGCACTTACCTACATGCAGGCAATACACGCATATACATAAAATAAAAATAATAAATATTAAAAAAAAGAAAAAGATTTTCATTTTATATGTATGACTGTTTTGCCTGTATGTATGTAAGTGTAATGTGCGTGCAGTGCCCGTGGAGGCCAGAAGAGGGATTAGATTCCCTGGAACTGGAGTTAACACACAGTTGTGCATTGCCTTGTGGGTGCTCAGTACTGAACCTGGGTCCTCTGCTAGAGCAGCCAGTGCTCTTAACTGCTGAGCCATCTCTTCAGCCCAAAATATGATCTATGTTTAACAGTAACTGGTTATCTGGTTCTCTTGAAGTGTATGTTCTTTGTCTCCATCTTTGACAAATTGAATCTCACTTTCTAGTTGGTGTCTTATCTTGTCATACCCTCTACCTGAATCTGATGTACTATAATATTTATGAGTTACTGGTTTACTTTATTGCCTAGCAAAGACTTGTTATTTATTTTTGTCTATTTGATTAAAATGTTAAAGCTTTAGAAAAGTGAACATGATGTTGATTAGCATTTCAGTGGTCATAGATGAGTAATCTTTGGGACCACTAAATGAGGCTTGTCTTTTTAATCCTTTTGAAATAATTACTGCTTTCATTAGAATTTCAGACTTGAAAGCTGGGTGTGATTGTGTGTTCTTGTAATGTTAGTAGATTTTTCAAGTTTGAGATCAACCTCGGCTACATAATAGGACCCTGACTCAGTTTTATATATATATATATGTCATCTCTTCCATTAATGCATCTTTTCCTGTGTATAGGATGTCAAACACACATCAAACCCAATGCTTTGACTTGCTTGAAAGAAGAATTGATGACCATGCAGAGGGGAGTTCTTCAAGGTGAGTATTTACGAGGAACAACACTGGCCAGTGACACACATTTGGAGGTGTAGTCTTAGCTTCCTTGTTCTTATTTTCTGTTTCTTCCAAAGTTCTGCCATCTCAAGATCTGTGTATAGGATGTCAAACACACATCAAACCCAATGCTTTGACTTGCTTGAAAGAAGAATTGATGACCATGCAGAGGGGAGTTCTTCAAGGTGAGTATTTACGAGGAACAACACTGGCCAGTGACACACATTTGGAGGTGTAGTCTTAGCTTCCTTGTTCTTATTTTCTGTTTCTTCCAAAGTTCTGCCATCTCAAGATAACATGGTTCAAGTTCTTTCCTTTTTTTTTTTTTTTAATGGGGTGGTGGTAAGACAGGGTCTCAATATATCTCCTATAGTTGGCTTAAACTCTTCTTTTTTCATTTTTAAAAATATTTTTGTTTTTATTTCTTGTGTTTGAGTGTATTGCCTGCATGTGGGTAAGTGCGCCTGTGTTGGGCAGTGCCCCTAGAGGTCAGAAGAAGGCGTGAGGCATTCAGTCCCCTTGAACTGGAGTTACGGATGGTGATTGGCCACCATTTGCATGCTGGGAATTGAACCCGGGTCCTCTATAAGAGCACTCAGTGTGCTTTTAACCGCTAAGCCATCTCTCAAACCCCTCTTTTTTTAAGTTGTGTAGCCTCAAATACTTGATCCCAAGTGCTGGTGCTGGGATTGCAGGTGTGTGTCACCATACCCTGCTTGTATTTTCATTGTGAATATTTCTTCCCCTTCCTCACTGATAACATATCTTTGTTTTATTAGCATGTATTGATTTTGATAGAATTATTATTTAACAAATTATGTAAGATCTTGGCCCTTTTTAGTCTAAATCTTCCATTTGTTCACCATGTTTATAAAACAATGAAGACATTTTAAACTCCTTCAGTATTTTATGTTTATTTTATATATATGAATGTATTGCCTGCATGTATGTAAATGCACCCATGTAATGTAATACCCAGGGAGGTCAGAAGATGGCATTTGATCCCCTGGAACTGGAGTTATGGATGGTTGCTGTCTACCATGTGGGTGCTGGGAACCAAACCCAGGACCTCTTAAAGAGCAACCAGTGCTCTTAACTGCTGAGCCATCTCTCCAGCCTGAACTCCTTTAATTGCTATGCTGTGTTGTTCTTTAAACCTAAACATTATTTTATCTTTTTTGTGGGTTTAATTTGAGAATTGGAAATGAAACTGCAAACCAGAGATTCAGCACTTGAGCAGGATTTTTTGACAAGGAATACCTTCACAGAGACACAACAGGTGGTAAGTTCAAAATACATTTCCTATTTTACACTTTTAGGCAAGATACTGAGGTATTTTAGGAACTCCTTTGCAGATTCTGTTATAGGAGGTCAAAACATGGAGAGATACTTGAGAGAAATAGGTTTCTCAGTATAAGGAACAATCTCTTAACACATATTCTGATGACAGGTGTCATGGTTTCCAAAGTTAATGTGCAACTTGTTGGTATCCTTCAAGAAAATGGCATGATTCCACTGGCCAAAAGAATATTTTTTGTAGATAGACTTGTCCCAAAGCTTATCACAGCACAGAAAGACTCAGGCCAGAATTGAGTCCCTAGTTGGCGTTCTCTAGAAAGTTACAAGTCTTAAATTGGTGATGAGCTTCTAAAATAACTATTTGGTAACTATTTATTTATTTATTTATTTATTTATTTATTTATTTATGACAAGGTAGCCCTCGCTGGCCTGGAACTTGCTATATAGACCAGGCTGCCCTCGAACTCACAGAGATCCACCTGCCTCTGCCTCCCAAGTGCTGGGATCAAAGGTGTGCACCACCATGCCTGGCTGGTGAACATATATCTTAACTTTCTTGTTAGTGATTATATACTTAATGTTTTGAGTATTTTGAAAGGTCAGGACAGCTGGGACTATAGGGAGACCCTGACTCAAAAAAGACACAAAAAAATGGAATTTTCTAGAGTTGGAGAGATAGCTCAGTGGTTAAGACCACTAGGTGCTCTTGCAGAGGAGGTGGATTGGGTTCCCAGGGCCCACATGATGGCTAACAATGGTCCATAACTCCAGTTCCAGGGGATCTGATGCCATCATCTGGCCTCTGAGGGCATTGCATGACATGGATGAACTTACATATATATAGCAGGCAAGACACTCATACATATAAAATAAATAAATAAAAAAAATTTTTTTTTTCCAGAGATATAAGCTAAAATAATTACTGCTGAAATATAGTGGCTGAAAATGTCCCAGGGTGTGGTGGCACAAAACTTTAATCCTAGGACTTGGGAGGCAGAGGCAGGCAGATCTCTATGAGATTGAGGCCAGCCTGGTCTGGTCTGCATTGTGAGTTCCAGGCCAGCTGGGGCTACAAGGGAGAATGTCTTCATTTGTCATCACTTACCAGGTCTTTGTAGTGTGCTGAGTAGTGTGCCACAATACAGGGGAGTAGCATGAATAGAGCTCCCTGTTTAGTTGTGGGGACAGAAGTTTGTTTGTAAGAGGTACCAAAATCAACATGAATGGAGAGGATTCTAAGAGTGAGTGTAGATAGCACTAGACCAGTGAGCCCTGGGATAGAATATGGGAGACCTGGGGATAGAGAGATGTCTCAGCGGTTAAGAGCACTAACTGCTCTTGCAGAGGACCTGGGTTCGATTCCCAGTACCCACATGGTGGCTAACAGCCATCCATAACTCTAGTTCTGGGGGATCTGATGCCCTCTTCTGACCTCTGGGTATTCTACAACATGGGTCCACCTACCTGCATGCAGGCAGTACACTCATACACATAAAAAGAATATGGGATATCTTAGATTCTGTTATAGGAATTGGTGTCACTTCTTCTCTAGTCAGCATAGGTAATGTTACTGTACTCAGACTGGCATATATTTGATGGTTTAGGACTCAGTGACTTTTGAAGATGTGGCGGTGGACTTTACCCAAGAAGAGTGGACCTCACTGGATCCTGTTCAGAGAAACTTGTACAGAGATGTGATGCTGGAGAACTACCAGAACCTGGCCACAGTAGGTAAGATTGTCATTCTTTCTAGCTTCATAGGGAACATTGTGTTTAATGTTCTAGAAGTAGTGATGCCAGCTGAGATTACAATGGGAAATAACAGAGACAGAATCTCTTAACCTAATCTAATCTGTCATGGTGCTTTTCACCTAAACTGTAGTCAGTCACATCACTGTACTAATGTTACTTTGAGATTCTCTTTGTTTTTTTTTATTTTTATTTTGCAACCTAGGCTGGCCTCCAATTTACCACAATCCTTGTCTCTTGAATGCTGGGATTATAGGTATGTACCATCATACCTGGCTGTCATTCATATTTTAACAGGCCTTACAAATCTGTTTTACTCTTAAGAGGAAAACTATTGTCATTTTTTTCCCCTATAAGAATGAATGAAGACATATAAAGACCCATGTTGGTGAGAATGACAGCTTTAAAGTACTTTCATTACTTAACATTAGATCTTACCAGAAGAAATGTATTATTGGGTTTTCTTTTTCTCTTGAAAAACTTTACTTGAAAAAATATTGAAAACATTTTATTATTTTATGAGTGTATTGCCTGCATATAAGCACACCCATGCTGTGCAATGCCCGAAGAGATCAGAGAGGGCATTGGATCTCTTGGAACTGGAGTTACAAATGGTTCTTAGACACCATGTAGGTGCTGAGAATTGAACCCAGGTCCTCTGCAAGAGCAGCCAGTGCTCTTAACCACTGAGCCATCTCTCCAACTCCCTTTTAAAATGTTTTTGTTTTTATGTGTATGTTTTCCCCGAACGTGTGTAAGTGCACCACATGTTCATGTAATGCCTGACGAGGCCAGAAGAGGGCATGAGATTCCCTGGACCTGGAGTTACAGATGGTTGTGAGCTGTCATGCGGGTGCTGGGAACCAAACCTGGATCCTCTGCAAGAGCAACCAGTGCTCTTAACTGCTGAGCTATCTCTCTAGCTCCCTTTTTCATCTTTTAAAGAACATAGAATCTTGGGGCTGGAGAGATGGCTCAGTGGTTAAGAGCACTGACTGCTGTTGCAGAAGACCTGGGTTTGATTCCCAGCACCCACATGGAGGCTACGAACTGTCCTTAACTCCAGTTCCAGGGGAATCCAAAGCCCTCTTTTGACCTCCACGGCAATGCACGACACGGGTGCGCTCACATACATGCAGGCAATACACTCATACACATAAAAATAAATGTTTAAAAAAAAATAGAATCTTTATTAAATAATCAAAGCATAGGAGTATGACATGCCACTAGTAGTAGTTATTATGTTTCTTGGTGGTAATGGGAATTGAATCTGTCTAGGACCTTGTACATTCCAGGCAAGTGCTCTATTAATTACCTATATCCTCAGCTGTTTTTTGGTTTCTTGAGACAGGCTCCCTGTATAGCCCTGACCAGTCTTTATTTCTTGATTCTCCTTCCTAGTGCTATGATTACAGGCATGTAAGGACTTGGTCCTTACTGGTGGTTTTTAAATGTGCATTTAGGTCATGAATGTAAATTTCTTGGGTTCCAGAAAATATTGTTACCAAAAGTATAAATATTTATATTTTGAACTGTTTTTTAATAATTTTAAGTGTTTTTTCTAGCATTGGAGGGTTTACATGAGCATTTGCCATTAATGTGTTTTTCTCTGTGTATAGGAGGTCAACTGTTCAAACCCAGCCTGATCTCTTGGTTGGAGCAAAAAGTGGAGTTGACAATAGTGGAACGAGGCATCCTCCATGGTGAGTATTTGTTAAAAACATTTTTTGTCATTGACACGTGAACGTGTCATGTTTATAACCATAATGAGGAAATCTTTAGAAGACCACTTTGAATTTGATGGCTGAGGTCCTTAGAAGCAAGTTTTGGGATGCCAGTGTACTTGTAATGCAAATTCTGGGATATCTTTAACCTGACATAGGTATTACTTAGACTTTGTTATGATCTTAACAGTGGTATTCTCTTTTCCCCTTGGGTTATGATTTTGGTTTTGCAGTCTTTTGTTTGTTTTTTATTTTTCCTTCTCTAGTTCACTGTCACATTTCATTTTCACAGAAAAAAGTTTCTTAAAAATTTTTTAAGGGGCTGGAGAGATTCTGGGATATCTTTAACCTGACATAGGTATTACTTAGACTTTGTTATGATCTTAACAGTGGTATTCTCTTTTCCCCTTGGGTTATGATTTTGGTTTTGCAGTCTTTTGTTTGTTTTTTATTTTTCCTTCTCTAGTTCACTGTCACATTTCATTTTCACAGAAAAAAGTTTCTTAAAAATTTTTTAAGGGGCTGGAGAGGCGGTTAAGAACACTGTTCTTGCAGAAGACCTGGGTTCGAATCCCAGCACCCACATGGCAGCTAACAGCTTTCCATAACTCCAGTTCCAGGGGATCCACACCCTCTTTTGACTTCCATGGGCACTGCACAACATAGACACACTTACATACATGCAGAAAGAGGCAGAGGCAGGCAGATCTCTGTGAGTTCAAGGCCAGTCTGGTCTACATAGTGAGTTCCAGGACAGCTGGGGCTACAGGGAGACCCTGTCTCAAAAAGACCAAAAAAAATTTTTTTTTTTAAAATATTTTTATTTTATGTGTATGAGTGTATTGCCATCATGTATGTGAGTGCACCCAATGTGGTGCAATGAGGCGGAGGTCAGAAGAGGACATTGGATTCCCCTGGAACTGGAGTTAAGGACAGTTCATAGCCGCCATGTGGGTGATGGGAATCAAACCCAGGTCCTCTGCAAGAGCAGTCAGTGGTCTTAACCACTGAGCCATCTCTCCAGCCCCCCCAGAAAAAAATTTTAATGTATTATACGTGTGACATACCTGTTTTTTGCTTTCTTTCTATAATTATTATGTTTACCATCACATTTATTTATTTTTTTATTTTTCAGTCCTTTTGAGACATTATATTTTTAACACCACATTGTTATGATTGCCAGATTTTAGACTTAGACAAACTGCTTGAATCTATCTTTGCTTTGTTGCTTAATATGTTTTAATATAAAAACAAAGTTTAAACTTAAAATTTTTTTAAAAAGTTTTACTTAATCTTTTTAGCCTGGATATATGTAAGTGCACCTGTGTGTCCAGTGCTTACAGAGGTTAGAAAAAGGCATCAGATCCCTTGTAATAGGAGTTAACAGATGGTTGTTATACCACACGTGGATACTGGGAACTCAACCCATGTCCCCTGGAAGAGAAGCTAGTGCTTGTAACTGCTAAGCCATCTGTCTAACCCACACATCCAGCCTTATTTAACATTCCATTTGTTGTGCAAATTCTTATATATGTTTTTCTGTTTTACTTTAGGATGGGAAATGCACCTAAAGGCCAAAGGAACCGCATTTCAGCAGGATATATTTTGTTCAGATATATCAAATGGAATGCAACTGGTAAGGTTCACAAGGATATTTCTTAATGTCCTAGTTCAAGGAAGATTAGGGGTTCCCTAACAGAAATAAGTAGAAATAAAAGGTATTTCAGAGAAATATCTGTAACAAGGGACACTCCCTATCTCTTTCTCTTTCTTCCCTTTTGTTTCTCTTTTCCCTTACTCTTTCCTCCTCTTTATTTTCCCCAGACAAGATCTTATAATGTCTCTTAGGCTGGACTTGAACTTGTGATCCTTCTGCTTCAGCCTCTAGAATGCTGGGATTTCATAGTACTGCACCAGTGTGCTAAGTGTAAAGTGATGCTCCAAACCTAGTATGACATTAGAACATCAGAATTCCCTCAGATGTACATTCCTGTATAAGTCTGAAAAATCCTTTAAACTTCATTTGAGCCTTTGTCAACAGGGAGGACACAGTGGAGGGGAGCTCTTTGACTCTAAGCATGTTGAGAAAGTTTTCAGTGAAGATTCCTGCCTTCAGACTGACATGTTTACTCCAAATATGCAGAGTACTTCAGAGTGTAATTTGTATGAAAAAGATTTCCCACAACCACTGAAGGGAACTTCTGTTGAAGATAACAGTTTGCAGTTGAACCAGTATGTAAAACCTTTCATCTTGACTCCAGATGCTCCCCAGAGTTTATGCGTTCAGGACAAATCCTTTGAATGCTGTGACTGTGGGGAAACTTTTGTTAATCAGTTAGAACTTCAGGCACATAGTTCTTCTCATAATGAAGGAAATCACCACAAATTGGAGCAATGTGGCCAAGCTTTAACTCATTCTGCAAGCCATGATGGACATGTTGAAACTCCCACTGCAAAAAAATATTATGAATGTAAGAAGTGTGAAAAATTCTTTACACATCCTATCTATCTTAATATTCATATGCAAAGTCACACTGTTGAGAAACCCTATGAATGTAAGGAATGTGGGAAAGCTTTCACTGAGCGCTCAAGCTTAATTGTACATCTACGACAACACACTCGGGAGAAGTTGTATGAGTGCAAGGAATGTGGGAAATCTTTCATTCAGCCCTCACGCCTTACAGAACATATGAGAAGTCACACAGGAGAGAAGCCCTATCAGTGTGACCAGTGTGGGAATGCTTTTGCATCTTCCTCTTACCTTACTACACATTTGAGAACTCACACTGGAGAGAAGCCCTTTGAGTGTAATGTATGTGGAAAAGCATTTACACGTTCCTCCTACCTACTAGGTCACATACGAACTCACACAGGAGAGAAACCATACGAATGTAAAGTATGTGGAAAAGCCTTTAGTGGGCGTTCATGGCTTACTATACACTTACGAAAACATACTGGTGAGAGGCCCTATCCATGTACAGAATGCGAGAAAGCTTTCACAAGTTTTGCTCAACTAACTGAACATATAAAAACTCACACTGGTGAGAAGCCTTTTCGATGTAAGGTATGTGCAAGAACCTTTAGAAATTCCTCATGCCTTAAGACCCACTTCCGAATTCACACTGGAATAAAACCATACAAATGTAATTACTGTGGGAAAGACTTCACTGCGCGTTCTGGCCTTACCAAGCATGTACTAATTCACAATGGTGAGAAGCCCTATGATTGTAAAGAATGTGGAAAAGCCTTCAGTACATCCTCTGGCCTTGTTGAACATATAAGAATTCACACAGGAGAGAAGCCCTTTGAATGTTATCAGTGTGGGAAGGCTTTGGCTCATTCGTCATCTCTTGTTGGACATTTGAGAACTCACACTGGAGAGAAACCTTTTGAGTGTAACCTGTGTGACAAAACATTTACGCGTTCTTCTTACCTTCGAATTCACATGCGAACTCATACGGGAGAGAAACCCTATGAATGTAAGGAGTGTGGGAAAACCTTCCCTGAGCGCTCATGCCTTACAAAACACATAAGAACACATACTGGTGAAAGGCCCTATGAATGTAAGGAATGTGGGAAAGGCTTTATTAGCTTTGCTCAACTTACTGTACACATAAAAACTCACAGTTCTGAGAGGCCTTTTCAGTGTAAGGTATGCACAAAATCTTTTAGAAATTCCTCATCACTTGAGACCCACTTTCGAATTCACACTGGAGTAAAACCTTATAAATGCACTTACTGTGGGAAAGACTTCACTGCTCGTTCAGGCCTTACTATACATTTACGAAATCACACTGGGGAGAAGTCCTATGCTTGCCAGGAATGTGGGAAAGCTTTCAGTACTTCCTCAGGCCTTATTGCACATATAAGAAGTCATAAAGGAGAGAAACCCTTTGAATGTGACCACTGTGGGAAAGCCTTTGCTTCTTCCTCATATCTTAATGTGCATTTGAAGATTCACACCGGAGAAAAGCCCTTTCAGTGTACAGTGTGTGGGAAAACATTTACATGTTCTTCTTACCTTCCTGTTCACATGCGAACTCATACTGGAGAGAAACCCTTTCAGTGTATAATATGTGGAAAATCATTTTTGTGGTCCTCTTACCTTCGTGTTCACATGCGAATTCACACTGGAGAGAAACCGTATGTATGTCAGTACTGTGGAAAAGCCTTTACAGAGCACTCAGGCCTTAATAAGCACTTACGGAAACACACGGGAGACAAACCATATGAATATAAGGAGTGTGCAGAAGCCTTTGCTACTTCTGCTGATGCTAATGAACATGAAAACCCCCATTGGAGAGAAACTGTTTGAATGTAAAGAATTTGAAAATCATTCTGGAAGCCCTTGATCCAATTCCTTTGTAATTAGAATTCATAGTCTATACAAATCTGATGAATATAATCAGCATATAAAAGTGTTCATTTGTTGCTGTTTAGTGCAAAAACATGAAAACTCAATCTGAGGATGCGCTGTAATTCAAGGCTTATGGGAGAAGTCATAATCTCCCAATATAACATGTAAGAATTCATTCTGAAGCTTTGTAGTATAAGAATCTTGCAAACACTTTAGTATTTCAAAGTGGTAATGCAAGAGTATGTGTTGACGCAAGATATATGGAAATGTCACAGATCTCATAGTTTTTTGTTCATCTGTGATCTCACAGTTGAGAAAGTCTTAATGAAGTTTGGGAAATCACTCTTTAACCTTCAGTAAATGGTGTTTATACACTGAACAGAAACTACATGTGAGTGGTACAAGGTTTGCTTCTCCGTGTCTTGAAATCTTGGGTGGTAATGGAGACATGGTTTTCCTGGATGCTTCTAGATGAGTTTTGAATATTTTGATTATTTCTGTATTTGCGTATTTTTATGATTCCAATTATAAATATCTAAATTCCACTATGTTTTTTTGTTATATAATATTCCTGTTTGATATGATTGAAAACTGTTGTTTGTACTTAGTGTTCACCATGATGTCCTATGTCCTTGTGAAATAATGAACACAAACTCAGCATGCATATTCCTTGTTATATTCATCCTCTGTATACAAACCCCACATGCTTTTTTTTTTCTTTTTCTTTTTGACAAGGTCTCAGTTTGTAACCCAGGCTGGCCTGGAGCTCACTGTGTAGCCCAGGCTGACCTCTAGCTCATGGCAATTCTGCCTCAGCCTCCTGAGTGCTGGGATTATAGGTGTGAACCGCCACACCTGGCCCTCTTCACTGTTCCCAAGTATTTGCTTGAAGTTTCACATACATATCTTCCTAATGCTGAAATTCCCATGCTTTACATAGGAGTCAAGTACTTGTAAGTTTGAATCTTTGACCAATACCACCCCTTTTTCCCAGCCCCCAGTCTCTGGTAGCTATTATTTTATTCTCTGGTTGAGCTGAGCTTTTCTTTAGATTCCATTTGATGTAAGATCAAGCAGTATTTGTCTTAACTATACCTGGTTTTCTTTTTTGTCTTTTTAATTTTTTTTTTAAAGACAAGGCCTCTCTTTAGCCCCAGCTGGCCAAGAACTTGCTTTGTAGATCAGGCTGGCTTCAGTCTCACAGAGATACACTGCCTCCTGAGTGCTGGGATTAAAGGCATGTACCACCAAGCCCAGCTTTTTGTGTGTGTGTCTCTGTATGTAACAGTGTCTTGCTTTGTAGCCCATACTGACCTCAAATCCTTAATACTCCTGCCTCAAACTCTGGAGTACTGGAGTCACAGGCATGTGCTATAATGCCCAGATTTTTTTTTTGGCTTATGTCAATTTGCATGGTGTCCTCAAGATTGAATTGTGTTATGGTCAGATATTTTACTTAAGACTAAATTTAGTTTACCCATTGTCTGATTACTGAGATTGTTTCCATATCTTGGCTGTTGGGACTGTGGCTACAGTAAACATGAGTGTGGCTCTCTCTTTTGAGTTGGTGATCTTATGTCCCTAACTGTAACCCCAGAAGTGGGTTTGGTACAGTAATGGTATAGTAATTGGTATAGTACTTTTTTTGTTTTTGGTCTTTTTGAGACAGGGTCTCCCTGTAGCCCCAGCTGTCCTGGAACTCACTGTGTAGACCAGGCTGGCCTCGAACTCGCGGAGATCTGCCTGCCTCTGCCTCCCAAGTCCTGGGACTACAGGTGTGTGCCACCACGCCTGGCTGGTATAGTACTTTTTAAATTTGATATGTCTGTACTGTTTCCCATAATGACTACCAGTTTATGTTCCCAACATTGTAACTTCTCACTCCTTTTTTATCTTGGCATTTTTCTATGCCATTTTAAAAATATGAGATGGTATTTTTGTAGTTTTGATTTGCCTTTTCCTAATTTATAAAGCCATTTGTGTGTCTTCGGTAAAAATATTGATTGTGGTTGATTTAACTTTAAAATCAAGATACTTGTTTTTTGCTGTGAAGTTACGTAAGTTACTTAGATGTTTGGATATAGACCCATTATATTGTGTATACAGCCATCTTCCCGTCTGCATAACATGCTTCTCAGATTTGTTTTTTGCTCTACTTTGTAAAATCTTTAATTTGATGTGGTCCTGGTTTACTTTTGCTTTTGATGCCTGCTTTTCATGTCAGCTTCAAAATTTCTTTGCCAGTGTGTCAGAAAGCCTTAGGTTTTATCTTTAGGCTCTTTTGGGTTGGTTTGTTTGGGATGATCTCACTATGTAGCCAAGCTGCCATTCACTATGTAGACCAGACTGGCCTTAAACTTACAGCCGTGCTCCTTCCTCAGTCCCTCTGAGTCCTGGAATTTCAGGCTTCAGCCATTATGCCTAGCTTACTGTATATATGTATATATTTTTATTATTTCATTTATTTTTGTGTAATTTTCTTTCCTTGACCTCTGATTTAAAATATAAATGTATGGTATGTTAATGATCTATTCTTGCTTACATATCCATTTTTGTCAGTTTCATATATTTTGTCTACTATCCTTTTCATGTTTTATTTCCATGATAAATTCGTTGAAAATTTGTTGACTGTGTGTTTATTTCAGAACTAACTTGTTCTGTTTTCTGTGTATCAGCATTACATGGTTTTTGATTACTGCACCTATGTATAGAATTTTGTTTGTTTTTATTCTTTGTCTTTTGAGACAATTTCATGTAGCTTAGGCTGGCCAAAAATGACCTGGGACTTCTCATCTTCCAACCTCTACCTTCCCAGTACTAGGATTATAGGCCTGTACCCACCACACCTGTTTTTTGTTAGTTTTTTGTTAGTTTTTGTTTCTCTCTCTCTCTCTCTCTCTCTCTCTCTCTCTCTCTCTCTCTCATTTTAAGATTATGTGTCTATTATATTTGCCTCATCCTTTATATATCATAACAAACCTACACAGACCCTCATCACTTGTTTAGGCTTTCTCATTTTTTCTGTCTAATATGGAAAATATCTCTATTCGCATATCCTTTTAACATCTTTCATGTTTTAATTTTTTAATTTTTTTTTTTTAATAAATTTTTAGGTTTTTTTAAAATTTTTTTTTTTTTTATGATTAGAGGTTGTTTTTTTTTTCATGATCTTATGAAAAATGCCATTGGAATTGGGATGAGATTAAATCTACAGAGCACTGGACATTTTACCAATGGTAATTCAATGTGCAGCATACCTTTCCATTTGTTTAGGTCTGCTTTATTTCATAGCTTTAGAGTTATCATTGTTCACATTGGTTTAAATTCTTAATTTTATTCTCTATCAGCTTAGATGCATTTTGTAGAGTATATGGTATTTTTTGCTTTTTAAAAGTTTGTGCTGTGGGGGACTGGAGAGATGGCTCATGGTTAAGAGCACTGGCTGTTCTTATAGAGAACCCTGGTTCGATTCCCAGCACCCACATTGTGGCTAACAACTATCTGTAACTGCAGTTCAGGGGATTGATGCTCTCTTCTGATCTCTGCAGGTGTTGCATGTCAACAGGTGCACTTAAATACATGCAAGCTCATACGCATAAAATAGAAATAATAAAATATTTTCATAAAGTTTGTACTGTATAAAGACACTTTTTTGTGTTGACTTGAAAATCATTTTAGCTTTAGTGAATTTTTTTTGTATGTGAATTTGTTTCTTAAAACTCTTATGTGGAGTCATTTTCTGTGTTGACTATCATGCCACCTGAACAGTTTGATTTTTCCTAGTTGGGTGACTTTTTCTTAGCCTAATAACTCTAGCTTAGGCTTTTCCTGATATTTGCTGAATAGAAGTGGGAAATGTGGGTTTGTTTCCTGCATGCAGCCATTTTGACTATATTTCTTTTATATCTAATCTAGTTAGTGTCAGTTAATATCCTGTTATATGATTCTGTGCATTTTCTGCAATATGGTATTTTCTTTCATTTTGTTAATGCAATGTATCATATTTATTGACTTGGCATCTATTAAAACATCTTTGCCTCTCAGTGATAAATTATTCTTCATCACTGTTTGCATGATCCTTTTAAAAGTTATGCTGGGCGTTGTGGTGCATGCCTTTAATCCCAGCACTCAGGATGCAGAGGCAGGCGGATCTCTGGTTCAAGGCCAGCCTGGTCTACATAGCAAGTTCCAGGTCAACTGGGGCTGCAGGGAGACCCTATCTCAAAAAGACCCCCCCCCAAAAGAACTTTGTGGCAGGGTTTGGTGGTACTCAAACTGTACTTGGGAATCAGAGGCAGGTGGATCCCTGTGAGTTCAAGGCCAGCCTAGTTGATATAGCAAGTTCCAGGCCAGCTGGGGCTACAGGGTGACCCTGTCTCAGAAAGACCAAATAAAAAGTTTGTGGGAGATTGACCAGAGTCTGCCAGATTGTTTTATTAAATATTTTTTATTGTTATTTGAGACAGGGTCTTTCTGTGTAGTACAGACTGGCCCTGTACTCACTGAATAGCCTAAAATGACCTCAAACTAATGATATTCATGCATTAGTCTCAAGTGCGGTGGCTTCAGGTATGGCCCACCATGCTCTGGCCAATAACTAGTGAGACGAGCTGGAGAGATGACTCGAAAAGACCTGAGTTAACATGGCAGTATATGCCTATACTCCCAGCAATGGCAAGATGGGAGGTAAAGAGAGATGGATCACTGAAGCTTGTAGGTCAGCTATCCTAGCCTAATTGTTCAAGTTCCATGCCAGTGGAAGGCACCTGAGGACCAACTCCCAAGGCTGTCCTCTGACCTCCACAACCATGCTTTACATGCATACACCTGTGCCCATCCACACATGAATGTACTCACAAAATTCAAAGTAGTGAGAAAAATAAGATGATAAAATGGTTACTTTCTTGTAAGAATATCATAGTTGTAAAGATAAACCCCTAAGCAGAACATTCAAATAGAGAAAAATAACATTAAGAGTATAAGACTATTTCAGTACTCTGTGGTCAACAATGAATTGATATTTGCATCTAGTCTGAAAATCAGTAAGGAATCTGGACTGGAACTTCACTAAGTGGATCTAATTCCACCCAAGAGCCAGAGGATACTTTCTGTCATGCTTTTGAGTATATGTCTGACATTTTATACTTTGTATCTTAAAATACTTTTTAAAAACGGTGTGTGTGTGCATAAATGCATGCTCATGCAAGAGTGGTACAACATGTGTATAGAGGTCTGAGACCAGCTTGCAGGAGTCAGTTCTTTGCTTCTACCATGTGGGTCCTGGGAATTGAATTTAGTTTAAATGCTGTGCCATCTCTCCAGCCCAATACCTGCCCATTCTTATTTAATGTACGGTTTTGAACATTGTCATTTCTTTGGCTTGACTGCTAAGTGACACTAGCAAAAGGACTTGCAGAATAGCCCAGAATGTCCCAAGATGGAATGTGACTGCTGGATTCCCAGATAAGGAGGGCATAGCCAGTGGCCTGGTAGGTATGCATGCTGAGAAAATGACCGTATTCATGCCAGACAAGCACTCTATCTGAGCTACATACAGATGAGCCTTTTTGCCTGATTAACATACCTTGAAAACTGAATTGGCATGGTAACTAAGTTTGAACATGGGCACACCTCATTCAACAAAAGATGTGGCTGTAAGGTAAATGTAAAATACTGTGTTTGGGGGGTTGGAGAGATGATAATTTGTTGCTCTTGCAGAGGACATGGGTTCAGTTCCCAGCACCACATGGAAGCTCACAACCATCTGTAACTTCAGTTCCTGGAGATCCAATGCCCTGGCATACATGTGCACATACATAAATGCTGGCAAAACACTCATAAAATAAAAATGAATCTTAAGTATTGAGAGCCAGGTGTGGTGGTGCATGCCTTTAATCTTAGCACTTGTGTGGCAGAGGCAGGCAGATCTCTGTGAGTTCAAGGCCAGCCTGGTTTACATAGTGAATTCAAGGGCAGCTGAAGCTACAGGGAGACCCTGTTTCAAAAAACTAATGATAATAATAATTATTCAGAGATGCTAGATTTGAAACAGCTGGGGGGGTTCATCTCTTAAAATAGGTGAAACATGCTTATCTAAAGATTTTTATTTTGTGTTTTGTCTGTGTGTATGTTAAGTGCACCACATGTGTGCAGTGTCTGGAGAGGCCAAAAGAGGGCATCATATTCCCTAGAACTAGAGTTACAGGTAGTTGGGAGGCACCATTTAGGTGTGGGAACTGAATCTGTGCCCTCTGCCAAGAGTACTATTAACTACTGAGCCATCTCCAGCCCTATGCTTATTTAATATGTCTTTCAACAAGGAATAAAATGTATTAGTTTTATCCTCATGGTACAAAAGTCCATTAAAACTGCACAGTTTGAGGTGTAACTCCATGATAATGTGTGTGCTTTGTATACACAAGGCCCTGGATTCAATCCCTAGCAGCAAACCTTAAGTCAGGTTCAGGCATGTGCTCAGAGTAATGATTGATTTTCTCCACCATCTTTAAACTTCATTACATTTTCTGCACCTGGTCTCTTACTGGCTAGTCAAGGCATTGTGTGGGATTTGGTCTCACGGCATAACCAGAGAGGACCGTTTCTAACCAGAGAGGTAATTGGCAGACTCCCCCTGCTCCCTCCCCCCTTCCCTTTCTTAAGCCAGCTGAAAGACTGACCCTCAGGGAGTCCTAATAAAAGAATACTAACATTCATTTGGTTCTGTCAGATCCACTGTGATGGTTTTCCAGTTGATGAACTTAACTCTTGGAACCCTAATGATAATAGCAAATTCCATTCATGTTTCTCATGCATCATTAGCTGGAAATAAGTTACAGGTTTTGTGTATACTCATGGTGGAGGTGGTAGTCTGTAAATAGGAAAGTAGACGTCATTAGGCTCTGGGACGTTCTAGTTCTAGCCTTCTGAGTGACTGGGCCTGAT